TGAGCCCACAGCACTGTCACCGCGGGGGACACCACCGGGACACCGGCACGGCCCCTCCCCGTGGCGAGGCAAAGCAGCTCCTCCTGCTGCGCCCCGAAGCGGGGGGCTCCCAGCTCCTGCCGGGGGGGAACCCTGGGCCAAACGCTGCCCCCTAAAAACACAGACAAGCTCTGTGGTCTCTGGGATGGTGGTACCCAACCCGCAGCCCCCAGGCACCTGTCGATGAAGACCAGGAAGGGGATGCGGATGGGGCAGCCTTCCTTGCGGATGCGGATGGGCCGGGGGATGCGGATGGGGAAGCCTTCCTTGCGGATGCGGATGGTCTCCAGGATCCCCGAGTAGCGCAGCTGGCTGCTGACCACGTCGGCCTCGAAGAGCCCTGGTTCCTGGGGAGGGGATGAGGAGAAGCCTCAGTGGCCACGTGGCCAGACCCCTACCCACCGTGCTCCCCACACGAGCAGGAAAGCCCCAGGCTGGTCCTCACCTTCTTGTTGTTGGGTTTGAGACAGCGCACAAAGAAGGGGTTGCACCTGCGTCAGAGATCCCGTTGGCCACGGGGGACGGGGGACAAAGCCAGCCTGGCCACCTCAAGCCCAGGTGTGGCTGGCCACCCGGCCCCCAACTAAAAAAAAGCCCCGGCGGAGGGGGGCCACAGCCGCCCTGCCCACCGCAAGCCCAGGCGTGGCTGTCACCCTGCTCCCAACCTGCCCGTCCTCACCTCTCCATCTTTTCCACCAGGTCCAGGAGCGACTGCTGGAACCGGGCGGCCACGGTGGGGGCCTTGTACCGCCGTGTCCTGGTGCTGCTCCTCCTGGCCAGGCTCCTCTGCCGAGCCATCACCTGGGCATGGCCGAAGAAGAGGTTGGCCACCACCTAGGGGAGATGGGAAGGGTTAGTGAGGAGGGAGGTGGCAGGCTAGTGCAGCTCTCCTGGCTCCTCTTCCCATCCCTGAGCGAGCCACATCCCCTCTTTGTGGCTGTATTCCTCAGATGGGGATGGGGACAGGGATGAGGAGTTCCAAGAGCAGCCCACGTGCCTGTTTGTGCTGATTCTTGAGGGGTCAAAGACCAAAAGACTCCATGGGAAGAGAACACAGAGTGAAGCCAGAGGCTTCCTCTGCTCCCAGTCCCCCCGTGCTTCACCAACCATAGGGGCACATGGAAAGTGGTGTGTATGGAAAGGGGGCTGTCCATGCTTGGTGTCCACCCAGAACCACAGAGCTGGGGCCAGGCAGGGCCCTACCTTGGTCCTGCTGCTGATGAACAGGTCCAGCACGTCCTGACGGACCTGGTCGTAGTTTTTATCCAAAAACTTGTGAACCTGGCAAAGAGCAAAACGTCCCGGTGAGGAGCCTGGCAGCACAGCAAGGGGAGGTGAGGAGCTCCAGGCTGGGATGGGGGCCCCAGACAGACACCCTGAGCTGACCCTCATCAACTGGTGCAGGATCATAGCATCCTACAATCATTCTGGTTGGAAAAAAAACTTTCAGATCATTGAGTCCAACTATTACCCAGCACTGCCAGGTCCCCACTGACCCATGTCCCTCAGCACCACATCTCCACAGCTTGGAAACCCCTCCAGGGATGGGGACTCCACCACTGCCCTGGGCAGCCTGGGACAGCCCTGGACAAACCTCAAGGGGAAGAAATTGTTCCTCAGCTACAACCTCAACCTCCCCTGGTGCAACTTGAGGCTGACCACCTCCAGCATCCAATCTCCCTTCAAGGAGATGTCAGAACCAGAAGCTAAACACACCCAGGTCCCTCAGCTGCTCCTCACCAAACGTGGGCTCTAGACCGTTCTCCGCCTTTGTTGCCCTTCTCTGGCCACACTCCAGCCCCTCAAGGTCCTTTTTGGGGTGAGGGGCCTAGAACTGAACCCAGGATTCAAGGTGCAACCACCCCAGTGCCAAGTCCAGGGGGACAATCCCTGCCCTAGTCCTGCTGGGACTTCCTCTTTGATCCTCCTTAGAACCCCAGCTGGGCATGCCACTGTTGCAAACCTGGTAGGTCACCTTCCCTGCATAGTGCTTGATGGTGAACTCGGGCAGTGGCATCTTCGGCTTGGTGTACAGAGGGTTGGTCCCATGGTGGTAGTGACACTTCTGGAGGAACGTGTGGTCAGTGGCCTGGGGACAGACACAGGGGTGAGACACGGCTGGGGTGGTTCTGCAGCTCCAGGGATGGAGGCACCAGGAGCCTGGACAACCAGCCAGACCCTACTCTCAGCTCTACCACCGAGCAGCCCTGCAGTCATGGGCACACACTGCTCTGTGCCTCAGTTTCCCCATCAGCAAAGAGGGTCCAACCACCATTCTCTATTTTACAGGGCAGCTAAGAGAAGAGTTCCACTAATTCCTACAAAACCAAGTCCCCTGCAGAAAGTTGTTCCAGTGGCACCGACCTGGGACCTCCCAGGGCTTTGTCAGGCCTGTAGAAACCTGGGAAGTCTCCCAGGTTTCACTCCAGGACAGCCCAGGAGTGGAGCAGCCCTGGGCCATGGTGTCACCCCAGGCTGCCATCCTCACCACCTCGGCACCAGGCCGTCCTTCACCTGGGGGAAGCAGCTCTGGTCGTCGAGGATGCGGAGGATGCCGTAGGGCTTCTGGGAGATGAGGTCGATGCAGGGCTGGTTGTCGCTGAAGGAGATCTCCTTCCACTCAATCTGCTCCCGGAGGTACTCCTCCTGCAGGGCCAGCATGTGGTCAGCCCCACGGCCCCAGCCCCCTGGTGGTGCTCGGCGTGGGGCAGAGCCTGGCACTGCTCACAGCCTGGCACTGCTCACAGCCCACCTGCTCCTCCTGGGACACGTTGAAGAAGAACTGCAGGTACTCGTTGGCGTAGTTGATGCACAGCTGCTCAAAGCTGTTGAAGCTGAGGTCCTGCAGGAAGGAGCCGTTGGAACGTGGGAGGCCACAGCCCCAGGGCTGGTGGATGGGGGGATGGAGCCGGGGTGGATCCTGCTCACCTCGAAGCCGTAGATGTCCAGGATGGCAATGGAGAGGGCCTCCTGCCGCGGGTACACCAGCTTGTTGATGCGGTCCGTGAGCCAGCCGAAGAGCAGGGAGTAGAGGGTCTTGGCAATAGCATCCCTGGGGAAGGGGCAGAGCAGGGTGCTGCAGCTCCAGCACGGTGTGACGTGGCACTGTGTCACCCCACCACCGTGGCCAGCACCCATCACAGCCCACATTGTGTATGGAGCAGCCTGAATCACCAAAGAGCCTAATCCTCACAGGGGCACACGACCGGCCCCTTTCCCAGCCGGGCACCTCCCCTCCCATCCCATACCCAAGGCTCAGACCCCCCTTGGGCACCACCCCACTTCCCCCTACCTGGCATCCACGGCACTTTCGACGGTCAGGGGGGTAAAAATCTTCTCCCGGAGGGTTTCCTAGTGGGGGGGCACAAAGCCAACGGCACAATGGAGTTATAGCAACACCGTCTGTGGTCCCCAGGGACCTGCCTCCCTCCCTGCACTCACCGTCACCTTGAAGGTGATGGCTTTCTGCAGGCCCTCGGGGGAGACCTGCAGCAGCTCAGCCACCGTCCGGATCTCGGTGGCGCTCACCACCGTGGCGACCTCCTGGCAGTCAGTCTGGGGGACACAGCAGGGGGGTGGGATGCAGGGGGATGTGGTGACCCCCAACTCCACCTCATCCCGAATCGGGCCCGAGGAGCGCAGCCGGGCTCAGGGTACCTCATATTTTTCAAAGTAGACGTTGCCCAGGTGGAGGACGGAGGAGAGGATGCGGAAGATGCTGTTCTGCTCCTCCGTGGTGAAGCTCAGCACCTCCATGGTGTTGAGCAGCCGGCGGAAATCCTCCGCGTCGTCCTTGCCCGGGATCTCACAGTTCCCACCCTGGCACGACCCCCTCGCTGCCATCAGTGGGTCCCAGGGGGCGGCACCCAGGGACGGGGACACGCACACGCCCTGCCCTGAGCACCCTCCCCGTCCGCGCACCGAATCCAGGAGCACCCCAGAACCCACCAGCACCCCGAGTTTGGCCAGCCCCCCAAAAAATCAGGTGGTGGAGAGGGTCAGGCAGGGGCCCCGCTACCTGGTTCAGGTAGTAGTAGGTCTCGGCGCCTTGCAGGCAGTACCGCTGGCGCTGCTGGGCGGGCAGCCCTGCCAGCATCTCGTAGAAGATGTGGTAGTTACGCTCTGTCTTGGCCTAGGGAGCAGAGGAGCGAGCTGGGGTGGCAGACAGGGCGGGGTGGGGGGAGGCAGAGCCCAGGACCCCCCTCGCCACCCACCTGGAAGACCACACGGGACTTCTCCAGCAGGTACTGCGAGGTTATGGCACCGCAGATCAAGCCGCTGCAGGGGCGAGAGCGGGCAGTCAGCTGGCATCCTTGGTGTGGGCAGGGGCTGTGCCCCCCCCCGTGGTGACCACCTCTGCCCCAGTGCTGCCCCCAGCACACAAGGGTCAGTGCCCAGTTCCCAGGTTCCCCCCACTTGGATCCGTGGACAGGGAGAGGTGCCCCCACCCAGCTCCTGAGGGGTGGAGCTGCTGAACTCCAGGGTGACACCGGGCACCCCCCTGTGTTGGGATCAGTGGGGCTGAGCTGTGGGGACAAGGGCCAGTACTGGGCACGGTGCTAGCTCAGGGCACAGCATCCCTGCCCCTCCCCAGGGGCAGCAAACACCACAGGTGACATCACCTGTCCCCCACCGAGGCTTGTCCCCAAAAGTGTCCCTGTGTGTGTCCCACCCCAGAGCTGAGGGGCAGCCCAGCAGCAGGGCAGGGGGCCGGGTTGGGCACCCCTAGGGCAGAGGAGGGGCTGACACCCAGAGGATTGCTCAGCGTTACTTACTCCTCCAGAAAGATTTCCACGAATTTCCCAAACCTGCTGGAATTGTCATTCCTCACGGTTTTGGCGTTGCCGAAGGATTCCAGCAAGGGGGTCGCCTCCAGGATCTGCCGCAGAGATGGGGAGAGCCTGGGGGTCAGCGTGGGTACCCCGACACACCGTGGGGTGGGGGGATCCCCTTGTCATCCTCCCACCCTCCCAGCTAGCTCCTGCCCCATGCAGACACCCACGGGTGCCAAAATTTGACCTGGCACTGATGCCAGTGGTATTGGAATGCGGGAGAGTGCAAGGACTCCATGCACGGAGCTCCTGCTGCCCATCCCCACTGTCCCCTGCAGCTGGGTGACATGACAGAGATGCCACCACCATGCTCAGTCCCCTCAAACCAGCCCACGGGTCCCCCCAGTACCTCTATCTGCCGTGGTCCGAGTGGAAGCACGGGGGCGAGAAGAGAGCGGCAGAGCCGTGAGCAGGGTGTGGAGGAGGGCACAGGGAGGGGGGACAAGGGGACAAGGGGATGTCCCCCGGGCAGCACCCTACCTGCGGGGCAGTGCTGCGCTTCTGGCTGCAG